CGCGGCAGAAGCGGCTTGGCGCCCGTGGTCTCTCCCCTGCGAACCTCCTCTGCTTCGTGGGCGCGACGCTGTGGAGGCCCACTGTGGCTTCAGGGATTGCATGGGCGCCATTGGTCCCAAAGTCCAGACATGCTCGGCGAGATGGCAGCGAACCTCGAAGCCATCCGGATCGGCGAAGCAACGGACGTCGCCCGATAGCTCGTGGATGACGCGCATGAAAGGCCCCCTGGCTAAATGGCCTCAAGATGGACGCCCTGCCGACGCAGCGAAACCCAGCATGCGCTTCCCCCCAGTCGCAAGACAAATTCGCCTCAACGCACCAATGCAACGACTTGTACACCGGAGAAGGTATCCACGCACACTCTGGACAAATACCCACGTGAACCTCAGGGGGCCCAAGAGAACCAAATAACTCGTCACCAGCATCAACATCACAACGGCCACCACCCACCACATGTACAATCTGAAAAGCCAAGCAGCACTTCACTGTTCAAGGTTCATGCTTGCGCGAATCAATTCCCAGACTTGCCGACGCATTGTCAAGGAGAGCTGCAGTGCATCTGGCGGAAGCTGGATCCATTGCGCGCAGCATCCTCGACATGCAACAGATGTTGTGCCTTGCACTTCATGGCGGAACTTGGATCGTTCGCTGGATTCGGAAACGACCACCTCTGTTGTTCCTGCTCTGTGTCCAACACCATCGTTCTCAGTGTCATGAGAGCGCGCGCAGTCGTCGATGAGACCCTGTTTGGGCCATCCCTGCCCTGCCGGAGGCCCCCCCCCACTAGGGTTCGGATTGAAGGGTTCGGGGCTGAGGCGTCGGGCTGGGGCGGGGTTGGGCGCGGGTTGGAGCCCTGGGGCCTGGGTTGGGGCGCGGAGTTCGAGGGGCCATGGGGTTTGGGCGCGGGGCGGGGCCTACTGCAATCCTCTCGCTCGGCAGGCCCTTCAGGGAGATGCAGCTGGCGCTTGGCGGCGCGCCTCGGGGGGGGGAAGCAGCCGCTCGATGCTCGGAGCAATCGTTGACGTTGTTTGGATAATCGAGCTTGCCCCCTCGATGTCCTCGGGCAGCTGGGGCGCTCAAATACACTTGGCACATTTCACCCTCGCCCGCGTCCCCCTGCCCCCCCGGGGCGGAGGAGGAGGTGCTGAGCGGCGCGCGCGTGCGGGGGGGGGGGGGGGGGGGGCGAGCCGAGGGTCTAGCCTGAGAAGAGGAGCCCCAGGGAGAAAGGATGAGAGGGTGAGCCCGAGAAACCTGAAGGGGCCGAGGGCCGTTCGCGACCCCGCCCGCCCCCTTCCTCACTCCTGCGCGCGCGGTCCAAGCCCGCGCCGCGTCGAGCAGGCGCCGCCAGAATCTGGGCGGCAAAAGCTTCGCTAAGGGAGCGTGCCTGAGTTCCGCGTGGAAAATGATTTGGATTTCATGGGCTGGCAATTCCCAATCGCGCGGGGATGCGTCCAATAATTCCTGCGCGATGTCCTGCCCCACGTCGCATTGGGCGTCGCGCGGCCGGTAAGTCAGCCATGGGAGCTTCCGCGGCCAATCCCACAGGGGAGAAAACACGACCCTAGTCGTTGGCGGCAAGTTCTAAGACGGATGCCACTGCAAGAACAACCCGCGCGCCCCGATGGACGCCGATCCCCCCGCCCATGCGATCGCGAGGCCCAGGGGCGAACGTGGCAAATTCCACTCTGGGCGATCGGGCAAACCGCGAAACTTGGAATCAACCTCGCCGGCAATTTTAGCAACGGGCTCGAGCGCATCTGGAACCTTGGAAATGTGGGCGGGGCCTGTGCGATGATGTTTTTTTTTTTCTCCTGCCATCGCTCTAAACGTGTTATTGGTCCCCTGGAAAGGTTTGCCAGTTTCGGGCCGAGCCAGAACTCTTCCGAATCCAAGCTGGCAGGCACCTCCCTCCTCGATTTGCCTAAATTCGCTCCGCGCGTCTCGACGTCATCGTCGCAGCCTGCCCCGGTCTCGGTTCTGGGGCGGGCATCTTTCTTATTCTTCGTCTCGTCGGCAAGAGCTGATCGCGTGGCCGAAGGCAGGTCGCGCTTCCCACAAAGCAGGACATGTTCTTCCAGGTTCGTTATCGACGACCATCGGCCTCTCAGTGCCCGGGGGGGCTTCTTCGCTGTTCTGTCTGCGTGATGGGTTCTGCTGTCATCTCATTTGGAAGCATTATAAATCAGAGTGGCATTCCCCTGCTCGCGCCGGACATTCGCTACCTTGGAGGTGTTGGAGACATGCTGGATGCAGACGAGGCGGTCAATCTGGCGCATCACCTGCCCCAGGCCCCCTCTCGACTCGAAGATTTAACACTGCGATGGTCAGCACATCATGCGCTGCAAGAAGACGCAACGCACAAAACACGCCATGCAAACTGTCAATAATCGACTGAGTGTACACAACAAGGACAGCGAAATCATAAGCGAGAGAGACAGCGAGCTGCGCTGCCGCAACCATTGGCAATTGAGCTGCTGCTACCGCTGGCACCCTCTTCCCGGTCACGCATCGATGAAAATGGTGTCGAAAGCACCGGGCCCGCAACGTGAGTGTGCACAGCTGGTCTGCAATGTCGTCTCGAATCAGCCGGTCTGCCATCGCCTGATCTGGACCGTTGCCGCGTGAAAACGTCCAGATACGAAAATGGAGCACATCGTCCAAGACCTCTGACTTCATCCTAGAGGTTTGGTTGAACACGCCAGCATGAAACGTCCAACCACGTCTGCAATCCCAAACTTTTGCACTGTTCCATGTCCATACAACGGCATGCCAGCCCTCCATAATGAAGTGGGATCTGCACTAGGTATGCCCAGCACCCTTGTTACTGAGCGTCGGCCCCGACATCTCCATTATTTTAATAAGGAAATGGCTGTGCAAACTGTGAACCATACACGTATGGGCTTTGAAACTCTTCTCGGCCGTGTTCGTAGCATCGCCACTGACGGTGTGAATTTCGAAACTGGCTTCTTTGACTGGTGATCCATCTTCCAACGTATAGAGACCTTGGTATCCGGGAAGCACTGCGTTGGTAGCATATTGAAACCCGCGTTTAACCCTGAGAAATTATATTCGTACCATTCCTGAGATCTCATAAAAGAGGCAGCCTGCCAGAAACAACTCCCAACGAATAACTGCGTCTTTCCTTGCACGTCGATTGAATCGCGACTAAATGCATGTCCCTCCTGGCTGCCCATTGTTTCTTCGAGCCGCAAGCGAATATCCACCACGTGTTGAAAGTAAGTGGAGCCTGACCTTCTTTGCGTCGGGTACTTTGCTTCTCCCTTGTGGCACGGTCTGCGAATTTCTTATGGCTTGTCGATTCGACTTTGAGTTGTCACTGTTTGTTGTTGGCAACGTCTCCCGATGTGAAATGGCAACACGTTTGGCAGCATTCAAACTCGATCGTTTGCGGATTCTGGCGCGTAGTCGGGCGATAGTCACATCTGTAGCATCTGCTGATACGCGTGATGCGCGCAATGCCTGGCCGCCTGCACCAACTGGTTGAACATGTTCTCGCTGCTGCTGCCGTTGAACACGGGACGGAACTGGAGGGGGGCGGACATTTGTTGTTTGCTCGACAATGTGCTTTTCCATGACTTCAAGGATGTATTGAGACGTTACAGTGCCCAAATCCATCATTACTTTTCTGACATCTTCAGGTGCGCAAGATAGCTCAAGCTCTTTCATACGTAAGTGCTTCTGGGATGCATGGACACATCGCTGTCTAAGAGTCCTGATGTCCTCAGCCCCAAGACCACGACTCTGGGCAGCAACCGCGTCAGCAACGTTCTGTTGCATTGCATTCAAATCAAACAAACAACGGCCGTTTTGAATCGTAGTCCTATGTCTGATCGACCTGACTATAGCACCTGTGACATACTCCATGCCTCCACGTCGCCAAAACACTTTCGAACCAAAAAGCTGACAACATGCAGCAGCGAGAGCAACCAATGAACACATGCGCAGCCGAGAATGTAGCATTCAAGGGTGAGGGCTCCAACTGAATCTCGTACATTTTGTCTCCCCAAACACATAAGCACCTCCCCAAAGGGGGGCCCCAACATGTCGAGCGATTTTGTCTGGCGTGCTATCACACTATCACTGCCCATTACTACATACATACACGTGGTAGCGTGTGTTGTGTGATATATATATATATATACACACATGCTGAGACCATTCGTGCAATTGTTATGGTGATACGTACACTTTCGTGATGGAGCAGTAAACAGCTACAACAAGACAATTGCGCGATTTCGTCATGTGGTGACGAGCTCGGACGCCGATTTTCTGATGAGCTGAGATCTCGGACGCTGTTTCCCCAATCAGAGCTTGCCTCTGTAGAGGTCCTAGCGGATTAAAGGATTAGGTGAGAGGTGCGGCCGATTTCGGTGGCCGGGCCCGGGTGCCCGGGGGTGCCCGGGTGCCCGGGTGCCTGGTGTGCGGCCGATTTCGGTGGCCGGGCCCGGGTGCCCGGGGGTGCCCCATGGCCCAATAGCCCAATGGCCCAGTAGCCCAGTAGCCCTATAGCCCTATAGCCCTATAGCCCTATAGCCCTATAGCCCTATAGCCCTGTAGCCCTATAGCCCTATAGCCCTATAGCCCTAATAGCCTTATATCTTTATAGTCCTATAGCCTCATAGCCCATATAGCTCTATAGCCCCATAGCCCTATAGCCCTATGGCCTTATAGGTCACAGTCCTATAGCCCTATAGCCCTATAGCCCGATAGCCCGATAGGGAGCAATTGGAAGATTAAAAAATCTGATTGGGGTTTTTCTCGGGTATCATTTTGTTTTGATGATCTGCAGGGAACCGTCTGAAAAAAACGTCGCGCGGCGGGCTGGGGGGGAGGGGGCAGGAGGCGAAAAGAACCACTGACACAAATCAGCCTCCCCACCGGAGATCCGTTTTAGCAGCCACGGGTTTGCAAGCCTTCGCCTGGCTTCCGAAAAGCGCTAATAAGCGCTGATCTGGAAGACTGCCGCAGGACTCTGCCATCAGAGCTGCATCGCCGCCTCTGTGTCCCTGGGCTCCTGCGGATCTCCGATCCTCTGCTTGGGCTCTGGGCGTGCCACGGTGCCCTGGCGGACAACCGCTTGGTGGGCGGGGCTGCGCTGTCCCGTCCTCGAGCCGCTTTGCACCGAGCCGCTGCGCTGCTTGCTGCTGCGGCTGGACTTGCTGCTGCTGCTGCGCCGGCTGCGGCTGGGGCCGCGGCCGGCGGTCAGGACCATGCAGCACACTACGCGCTCGCGCTCACCCGACTCGGAAACATCGAAGGAGAGCGTAAACGAGACGCGCTTGCTCAGCATGGTGCTGCCAGGCAGCTGCAGACTTAGCTTGAGGTCGAAGAAGCTCACGGGGTCGTGGCTGTTGGCGAAGCTGTTGACGGACTCGCAGAACGCCTCGAGTTGGGGCTCTCCCTGGACCAGCAGGTCGGCAAAGGACGCGCGGGCCGGCAGCGGCCCGAAGCGCACGGTGAAGGCGTCGGAGCACCTGAGGACCTCGAACGTCACGGCGTCGAACACGACGGCCACCTCGGACTGGACCCCGTGGTTCTCTGAGCCGAAGAAGGGTAAGAAGTCTGACTCATGCTCGAGCCGCGGCACGCTGTTGTCACTATGCTCCCGAAGACCCACGAGGTGCTGGGGCAGCTCCGTCAGGCTGTCCATGAAGCATACGTGGAAGACCTCCATGTCGATCTTGCTGCCGAGGCTATCGCGCATTTTCACGTGGAATGCGTCGGCGATCGTGCCGGTCTCGTGCGCGGGGACCTGCATAGACTCGTTGAAGCGGAGCTTGTCGTCTTCCGAAAACATGAACCGGTCCAGCTTCGAATTGACGAGGCAGTGTCCGGGGCTGTGCAGCAGCATTGTTGCGAGGGTCGGGGAGTGGCTCCCCAGGCGCAGGTCCGCATCCAGCTCCAGCACCGCATCGCAGATCGTGCCCAGCAGGGACTCTGCGGCGTCCAGACCGCTGCGTGATGCCCGAGCCTCCACCTGCTGCCGAGCCTCCCCCTCCAGTACGCCGCGGACCGCGTAGCTGATCAACACCAGCACCACGGATGCGCTCACCTCCGCGGCGAGTACCATTGGCCCATCAAGACTTGGCACCATGCAGTCGCACTCCAGAGACACCCCCTTCAAGAAGTGGAAGCTCACGGTGATCAGGTAGATGACGTTCCAGGACACGAACGCCGGCAAATTCATGCACAGAGAGATACAGATCCTGAATGCCGAAGTAGCTGTGGTCCAGACTAGCAACTTGTCGGTCGGGGTGACAAGCGGCGATGCTGCTAACGCAGTCATGAACATCATATACGATCCCACAATATTTAGCGACCAAGGCTGAATCAAGGAAGGCATGAACAGCAATGCCAATACTGACGCGTAGAATGTGAAGAACACCGCGTCCCCCGTCACAAGCGCCATGCGCCGCTCCCCCGCGAGGAGAAGGAGCGCCTGCTGAATGCTGATCGCGGCGCACCACATGGAGCAGGGCACCACGAAGCTTCTGGCCAGGTTTACCCGGCGGACCATGACGAGCTCCGTCACCTTCTGCGCGATCACGACCTCTCGCGCCTGCGGCTCCTTCTGTAGAAGAATTAGAAATCACGTAAACATAAACTGTTGGCGCTCCGCGCGGATTTCTTGGATCCGCGCCAGACCCCCCTTCATGGCGCGCGGAGCGCGCCAGGAGCGGCGCCGGAGGCGCCGCTAGGGAGGGGGGCCCAGCGCTGATCCAAGAAATCCGCGCGGAGCGCCAAAAGTTTATGCTTATGTGGTTTTTTCTTCTTCGATTATGGGCGCTACCGCGCAGGTGCAAAGTGGATTGCAGCCGCTGCCGCAGAAGCCCAAGGCTTCTCAGCCAGCGCTGCACGGCGGCTCCGCGCACCAGGAGCGCGATCTGAAGAGCGAGCCCCACGCCCGCGCAGACGAACACTGCGACGTCGTGGTCGGAGGCCATCGCGAGCACGGACCGAACGGCACGCTTGAGCAGGCGCTTGCTTCCCCTGCAAAGATCTTGAGCCCAAATGGCCACGAATGTGTAATCTGCAAGGCGGGGATTTATCCATATCCACCGCCTGGGAACCGACGTCCTGGTGCCCCGGCGGGTGGTGGATATGGATATATTTTGGCCCCCGGGGGCCCGAATATGTCCATATCCACCGCCTGCCGAGGTCCCCGAAAATTGATCCTCCAGGCGGTGGTCATAAATTCCTGCCTCGGATCATGGGCCCATTTTGGGCTGTCCTGGATATTCCGTCCTCGGTTACTGAGAAAGCGCTGTGGTTGGGCGGCGAACGCAAAGTATGTTGAAGTCACTCGCTCACGCGTAAACGTGGGCAAGGCACGCCAAATTCGTTTTCGTGTTGAGATCTTGGCCGTACGCTTTTCTCGCCACCTACTCATCTCATCCCCCTCTGAAGCGTCCGCGCACTCCGTTGGTCAATAGTGCTCTATAGTATCTCCAGAGGTGCACTTGCTGAAATCTTGAATTCTCAAGAGCGTCAAGACGGCTCCAAGATGGCAAGCGCGTCGTCCAAGTTTGCCGGCATGCACTCCATTATTGCCGACGGCAACTGGCAATGCACCAAGATACCTCTTATGTGGCCCTTAGCCAACCCCAAACAGCCCAGCGGATGACCCCGCAAGATGCTAACACTACAAACAGAATGTGGTCTATATAGGATTGCCTTCGCCAATTCCCGGCTCAGGATGATGACTCCAAGATGGGCGCCCGAGGCCTCCGAGAGGGTCCAGTGAACCCCCAAAATGGCCTTCAAGATGGCCCTATCTTCTCCAAATACGCCCCCAAACACGGTTTCCAGGACGAACACTTTCGCAATGCTGGTCACATGTTCAGGGGTGTAGCTCACTTGCATTACTTTGGTCTCTAAGCTGCATGCGACGTCCCCAAGATGACTCAATTTCCCATGGTGCTGCGAAGATGGCTCCAAGGTGGCCGCAAGACTCCCCAAGACGAGCCCACATGATAGAACTAGCGAACAACATAAGACAACTAGGTTGCTCCACGCTCGGGTTGCATGATTGGCCCCAGAGGCCTGCAAAAGGACCATCAAAGGGCTTAACCCAGCTCCAGAACCCAAAACGCTCGCAAGATGGCACTGGCGCGCCAAGTGCTGCCAATACGCCTCTGAAGTAAGAAATCCCAAAAACACTTCTGGCGCCGAACACTTCTCGTGATGCGGCGAACGTGCTTCCGCGTGTGGGCTTACTTGACTTGGTTTCCAAAGGCAGCGTGCGCAAACATGGAGTTCCACAGTGCACATCGTACCCACTGCGGCTCCGAGAGGCCCCGCCGAGAGCCCTAAGGAGCCCAAACCAATGTAAGCCGATGCGTGTTTCAATGTGTGCGTATTGCTCGTTGGAATATCCGCCGATCCGGCGTGTGAGTTTAAGAAGTCTAAGCTGAAGCTCTGCTTCAGCATGAGCTTTAGCTCTGCTTGGGAGGGGGGAGGGGGGGGACGTAATTAACTGACGGATAAAAGTGCTCGCCACCCCCCCCCCTGCCAGCCCCCAGGAGAGGGGGGGGGGACAGGAGAGAGGGGGGGGAGAGGGGGGGGTGGCAAGCTAGATGCGCTCGGGTCATATCTGACATCCTACCCCTCCCTCCCATCCCTTACCATGGCGCGGATCCCCTCTCTACTCGCACAGTCGGATGTCGAGCAGGGCAATGATCCCGAAAGGGTACGCGATGCATTGTAGAGCACGGCATGGCATGGCGTAGAGGAGCACCGCGAAGCGTAGTATCAACCTAGCATTGCGTTGCATGCCGTGGCATGGCGCGGGAAATGACGCCAGCGCTGCAGCGGGAGCGCGAGTCGAAGGACCTGCCAAAGGGCAAAACCATTGAAACACTTAAGATTTGCACTGCTTGGCGCTATTTCCGTTTTGGGGCTAAACATGGCTGCTAGACAGCAGAGTTCCAGAGACCTGCAAGCGTATCCGAAAAGCACAGAACCCAAGGCAACCCCAGAGGCTCCCAAGACGGCCCCAGATACTTCCCAGAGGCCTGCGGGACGGCTCCGAAACCGAGCAGCCTTCGACTGCAATATGATTATCTTCGGCGCCATACAGGCTCGTCGGTGCTCTGTCGGTGCTCTTTTGGACAACATTTAGGGCATCTTTGGCAACCTCGGAAACACTTGTGCCTCCTGTGGCAGGGGTTTGGGTTCTTTTCGGCCTCTTTAGCCGTCGAACCCTAGCAACTACGAAAGTGCTGTGGACAGGCGGCGAACGCTTTGTCGGCCGTGCCAACCTGAGGCCCTATTTTGGATGGCTGCGTGAAATGTCACCCCTCATGCAGAGAGCTTACATTTCATTACCTGGGGCGCACAGGGACATACTAGTACTGTATGTCCTCCTTGGAGGCGCGCGTCCGACCCGAACATATAGTATACCCAGATTGTATTGTATCGTTTCCCAAGCGGTGTAGCCAGGAAGCGCCCGCCCTGGCGCATATACTATAAGATTTCTCGGTGCGCGCGTCGCCCCTGGAGGGGGAGACGCACACATAGTAGAAGTAGGTTGGGGGGGACATAAGGTAAAAAGTATGTCTCCGTGCGTGTGGATGCCCATTGCGCGTCTTCGATCATTCTGGACACAAGTGCGCGTCTGGTCCCCTCGGAACGAGCAGCGGCGGCACATCTGGCGTACCCGCGCACACACTCTGAGGCGCGCGCAAGCACGCACGCCTTACACACACGTTGACAATTGCGACCTCGAACCGCTTGCGAGCGTCTTCACGAGTTGATTGTTGCTCCAAGCGGACCGCGGTGCGCTGCACATTCCACAGAAGTTCGACAGTCGTGGGACAGTGCAAACGCAGAAGTGTCGAACTCGCGAAGAGGAGACTGCAACGAGAAGCACAAGGCACGTCGACAAGTGTTGCAGCAAAAAGGCCTCCAAACGCGGACACCAAGACTATATCACAATGTCTGTATGGTCAGATTGGCCAACGTATATCTGACCACGTATCCATTCCCGAAACGCAGCTGGCGGAACCAAGCGGCAATAAAATACACCTCCCCATTGACCAGGCAACTTCTTGCTGGTAATGAATCGCGGGGCTATTATGGTCAGCCCATCTGCGTTTTCGACGACGTTTAGTTTCGAAGCTGGTACATACAACCCTGTATGCCAAACCTCATCTTGGCCAAAATATATACGTTTCTTCAACCTGCCATACGCTCGGCGTTCTGTGGCACTAAGCGACGACAGAGCCGTCCTGAGGGAGACGTGGTGGAAAGATGCGCATGTGGCATTGTCGGACCCTGCGCTGGGGGTGAGGTATTCACCGCTCTTCATCTTGATAGCAATTGTACGACTAAATGGTATTACTTTCTCAACGTGCATCAACACTGTGACATTGATGTTCATCCTGTTGTCACTAGCGTGTGCTGATGGCTTGGTTCTCAAAAACTGCAGGTCATCGACGATGGATACATTGACCAAGAGATTGCCACGAAATGCACGGGCTACCTCCCGTTGACAATCTACAGCAAAATCTGAGTCAAGATCAGCTGAGGATGCTGGTGGATGTGAACAAGAATCAGAACGATGCGCCAATACATGCACCATGTTATCGTTCACGGCTCCTGCTAATGACGCGTTGAAATTGATCCATTCTTCTGGCGCGCTGCTGAACACTGCGTCCAAGAAAGGCAAAATCATACTCAATGCCAGGTCTACCTGAGCCTCACGCGTGATGTTTGGATGGGCACCACAAAGTGCCTCAGTAGTTGAACATCCAAAATTGCTCGCAGCGTATTGGCAATGGGATCCTCCAACTACGGAAGGAACAAAAACACAACCTGACTTCATGGCCTCGAATACGGGAAGTGAACTCTTGGCTGCCGGATCAATGCAATCTTCAGTAGCTGTCAACAGCAGCGCTGGCATAGATGCTGGAATGTTTGGTGCAGACTTGAGAGCACTAGGAATCGTATAAGTCCCAAGAGAGACAGTGAACATGGCGGTAGGAGTTGGATATGCGGCTGCGAGCACCGCGTCCGCTGCCAACACAGTGCTTCCACCGCCCAAGCTGTGCCCAGCAATGACCGTATGATTGCCAACTCGCCCGTATAGTGGCGACATTCGATTGCTGCCAGACTCATTGACAGCGTGGGCCAGCAAGAACGCCTGATCAAGAGCTAGATCGACCGTAGACGGCACGACGCCAAGGTTGTGGGGGAGTAACACCACAAAGCCTCGCCGTTCGGCAAGCAATCGAGCTAGTGGATAATCATCGGCACTGAGACCAAACCCGTGCGCGAACGCAACGACCGGAGCTGGGCTTGATGCTCCGTTTGCAAGGTATAGCGTAGCAGTAACCCTGCGACCGGAGCGCGCAGCATCGACAGCAATGTATGTTGACACGGTCACCTCGAAAGCCACAACGCAGTGCGCGAGCGAAGCGAGCCAAAGTAAGACCATGATGGGAGCATGCATCTCGGCAACGGCGAACTAGTACTTGCAACAATCCTTGATGTATGGCCACGAAAGATGTTCATGGCACGTTGCGTGGTGGTAGGTTCACTCTGTGCCTGCGTTCTGATGGTAAACGGACTTGTTGCTGGGACTGGCCCCTTCATAACCCCGTACTCCCACCAGCTCTTTGGACGTAGGTGGTTCAGGGAGTTAGTTAATTCCAACCTCCTCTCCCCCTGCCCTTTCTTCCAGGGTCTGGAGGGGGCGCTTCGCGAGGGGTTGGTGCGCCCAAGATGGCCCAAAATTGCCCCAAGAGGGCCCCAGATAGCATCCAAGATAGCCAAAGATGGACCAAAGAAGCTTGCAATACGGCTAAAAGCAACGCCATGACCGTCCCAAGACGGCTCCAAGTGACCACGCAGCCTCCGCCAAATCCTGCCAAAACCATTGGATTATCACGACATGCTGGCTCCTCGCCTTTTCGCGTCCGACAAGCTCCTTATGGCTGTAAGATGACTCAACAGAGCCCCGAAAGGTCTAAGTGGGGCCCAAGATGGTCCCAAGAGCGCCCCAAGAGGCAATTCATCGTCCTCCGAGGCTGGGGGGTTTGGGCTAATGTGCGCAGCTCATGCTTGATCGATGTCCCTCAAGAGGCCGTGAAGAGGCCTTCAAGAGGGCCCCAAGAGAGCCACAAGAGGGCCCCAATATGGCCCCAAACGAGCCCCAAAGGCCAACTAAATTGCCGCAATAGGACCCCGCGACGGCCCCAAGATGTCTCCAAGAGCGTGAGTGCATGCTGCTATACATGCTTGATCAAATCAACTCGCCTGGTGATTGTTTTCGGATGGGCTGGTGGGGATACGCGAAGCATCATGAGTAGTTACGGATGTGTTTCAAGTCTAGCAGCTTCTTCTGCTTGAAAATGGGTTGCGAAGCTCTACGAGGCCACCTGCGACGAATACACGTGCCCATCGCGAGGCTGCGAGCGTGGGCCGAGGGCGAGCGCAACTTCTTGTCGAGGTCATGCGCTACATTTCTTGACCCCATTCGACGCATGGAGCCACAGGAGGCACGGAAATGGTTGACAATGGGGGGGGCAACAGCAATGACAACAACAACAACAACAACAACAACAACAACACCAACACCAACACCAACACCAACACCAACACCAACAACAACACCACCGCCGAAATCACGACGACAGCACCGACAAAAACCAATTACACAAACACCAACAGCAACACTTACACCAACCACAGCAACAGCAACAGCAACAGCACCAACAACAACACCGACAACAAGAGGAACCGACACAACAACAACAACAACAACAACAACAACAACAACAACAACAACAACAACAACAACAATAGCAACAACAACAACAACAGCAACACCAACAACCACAACCACAACAACAACAACAACAACAACAACAACAACAACAAACACGCCAACCAACAACAACAACACCAACAACAACACCACACACACAACAACCGCGACAACCACCACAAACGCAACAACAACAACCACGACACCACCAACACGAACAACAACAATATCAACATCAGACAAACAAACAACTACAACAACGACGACAACAGCACCAAGCACTACAACAACAGCAACTGTAACAGCAACAGCAGCATGATCAACAACAGCAGAAACAAGCATTACCGCCGATCCTCGTTTCCCGAAGCCTCATTTTCGGTGGCGGACAGAACCGCCGTTTAGCGAAACACCTGTTCTTGACAACGACCCAAGACCACACCTGGCAGCCGCATGCCCACAAAAATGCGCCCACAAGGCCTCCTCGACCATCGAAAAAAGGTAAATTCCCTACCGCGGGTCGTGTCGTGTCGATCCTGGCGCTGGTTCCTAATGCCGCAGGGGTACATTTCAACCTTGAACCATCGGCCGTTCCCGAAACGTGAGATCGTTCAACATCGGCCGGTTCTGGGTCGCCAGCGGCGTTCAACGCTGTACGCGGGCGGCGGCGTCGACGTCGTTGAACACGACGCGAACCTACCGTAATCGACGTTGCAGGGTGACGATGACGATGACGATGATAACGATGACGATGACGACGATAACAATGCTTGTTGAATGCTTAGTGCAGCTTGCACTCGTGACTATGGTATCGCTCGCCCAGCGCTTTGGGGAAGCTGGGCTGCAGACTTGGTGCCTGAACTCTCAGTGTTCACACGACTTCTCAAGAGTCAAGCAAGGGCAATTCCCTGATCGACTTAGCTTTTGGACGCCCGAAATGGGTACGGAAAAAACGGGTACGATGCCCAACAACAAATGTTGTCCCGAACCGACAGCGGCTGCTCTTCGGCAGGCGGCATTCTGCCTCAAATGGACACCGCCCGCGGCGGCGCGGACGGCGAGCTCTGTTCAAAATGAACAGGACCTGCTGTCGGTGTTTGTGCCCATCCTTTCCGTACTAGAAAAAGAAAAAACGCGATGAACATAAACTTTTGGCGCTCCGCGCGAATTTCTTGGATTTGCGCTGGACCCCCTCCCTGGCGCGCGGAGCGCGCAAGGGGCGGCGCCGGAGGCGCCGCCGGGGGGGCCCAGCGCGGATCCAAGCAGTCCGCGCGGAGCGCCGAAAATTTATGTTTATGGCGTTTTCCTCTTCGACGCACACATCGCGATCGTCCCGATTGGCAAACCTGCTCCGCCGATCCCTCCCTCTCGGTTTCCCCCGATCCCGCACCACGAGGAGGAGGAGGAGGAGGAGGAGGAGGAGGAGAAGAAGGAGGAGGAGGAGAAGGAGGAGGAGGAAGAGGAGGGATTTTGACGTCAACTCCAAGGCATGAGTAACAATTTATCGCCACGGCACAGGCTCCACCGTGACCCCTGCATTCGACGGGTGCCGACCCTTACAAATCGCTTTGAAAGTTTCGGTCTTCTTCCTCGTCGGTGGCTGGCATCGCTGAGCTAAGCCTCGAATGTATCCCAGCGAGCCGTACGAATGGCACCTCAGGCAAACAGTCAGGAAGGTGTCATCTGATCCCAGGAGCGATACAGCATTATGTCCCAGCGCTCTGAGACTAGGCCCGTCCAGCTTCGACTCGTTAGGACACGAGTCTCCAGGCGGAATCACGCGGCTCTTGCGCTTGGCAGCGCCAAAAAGGTGAAGCGAAAAAGCCCTCGCGTTTCTTCCATGCCCAGGCGTGGGGCCTGGAAGGTGGCGAAGGATCCGCGGGCGGAGGCACCCACGGGCAGTTAGTTAAATCGAGAGGCGGCCAGAGCGGCAACAACTTCGCCGCGAGCTTGCAAACCGCCTTTGCGATCTTAATTCGCCAGTTGAGAACACACTTCTCGGCCTCCGAGGGGCGGGGGTAAAGAGTCACGCCCTGCTGGGCAGCCCGACCTGCCAGATCATTCCCAAGGCGCCTCCAGCGCTCCTCAGGTGCGATGCCCGCTTCCTGCGGGTCTTTGTGAGCATCCACCTTCACGACGGCATCGACGAACGACTCCCCAAGACGATACATAATCATGAGCCCTGCAAGCGGGCGACGATAGCTGAGCTGCGCAGCCTTATTCCCAGCACAGGCGGAGATCGAATTCGCACAGTCACTGAAAAACGTAGAGCGCTGCTCGGCAAGAAAAGCGGCCTCACCAGGACGGCCTCCACCGCCGGCGGCAGCGCCAGAACGTTCCGGACGCGCACTGCCGGAACGTTCTGCTGAACTGTTCTGCTGGAACGTTCTAGTGAACGTTCTGGTGCCATCGTTCATGACCTCGACTCCTCCGCGGGCGAGGGCAGCGAATTCAGCACACTGCGAGGTCTGGATGAACGGAGCATGTATTGGCCCGTAGATGTGGCACACCCGATCCCCAGCAGGAGGAGGAGGAGGAGGAGGAGGAGGAGGAGAAGGAGGAGGAGAAGGAGGAGGAGGAGGAGGAGGTCGTCCCGATTGGCAGGGTGGGGGTCCTGTCTCCGCCCGTGGGCCGCCCCGGCTGCCCGCGGCACCGGCCAGGCCGCGCCGCCCCGCGCTGCCCCGCGCGCCCCGGCGCCCCAGCCCCGCGGGCATAGCAGCGCCCCCGGGTGAGCAGCCCCGCTGTCCGCCGAGGGGCCTCGTCGCGGGGTGGGGGGCGGGCTCTGGGGTTACGTTGGGCCTGTCCCTCTACAGGGGGAACATTCCAAAATAGTTCAACAAATAAGATGGGTAGTTTTGAATATTCTTAATTTTTTTTGGATAGTTTGAATGTTTCGTCCAACATCCCCCTGCAGGGGGACACGCCCGACCTAACTCTGGGGTTATGTTGTTCCCATCGTACTTCAGGGCCACATCCCAGAAATAGTTCCGAGCACCCATGGAAGACTCGCAACGGTGTCGGACGAGTACCGCCTCCCAGGGCACGACACGTGAAAACCCTCCCGTGTCAGTACTTTCTTGGTGCTCGACACTCTGTCTGGTGATTCAGGCTAAAATTAGGTCGGGCATGTCCCCCTACATGCGGATTTTGGACGGAATTAAAATTTTAGTCAAAAAATACTCCAAAATCCTCAATGGTCAGCAAAATCGTCCCCTGACTATTTTTCGACTATTCTTGAATGTTCCTCCTGTTGAGGGACACGCCCGACTTACTCATAGCTCTCGGGGAGCATCGGACTGGAATCGGCGATGCATCGCCGACGGATCGGCGAGGGGCCCCCGACAGCAGGATCCCCACGCTTCCGAGCGATCGGGGGCCGATGCGCCCCCCCGAGCCCATCCTCCCCCGGCGGGCCGAGCGAAAGGGGGGGGGGTGAGAAGCAGCTCGCGCAGCTGATTTTCCCGGCGCCTCCCGGCGCCAGGAGGCGCCCACGTATTGATGAATGGGCCCGGCGGCGGGGCCGCAACCAGCTGCATGCAGCAGATGTCGTAACCCCCCTTTCCCTATTCCCCCCCTTTCGTTCGGCCCATCCCCCCTCCGACGTCGTCCCTGATCAGTCCGAGCCGCCCGCTGTGCCCGCCGATGCCGAGGGCAATGACGACGACATCGTCGTCGTCGTGTCGGCGAGCTGGGGGCGTTCCCAGAGGTCCTCGTCGCCACGGCTGCCTGGACGCAGCTCGAGAAACTGGCCAGGAGGACCCCGGGAGGGGCCCGTGGAGCGACTAAGAGCAGATGTTTGGGATGTTCGACGTTCGTCACCTTTTGAAAAATCGGCACGCCGCCGCCGGGCTGAATTGGCCTCGAACCCATGGTCTGAAACACACTCCGGGAGAGGTCCAGGGTGGTCCAGAGCGTCTCCTCTTCCAACTTCCCTCTGCCCCTATTCCCGTACTTCCCTATTCGGGGAGGGGTGCATCACTGCCCCTTGCGAATGAATGTGCACCCCTTCCCCACCCGACCAGCGACGAACCGGAGCCAATGAGGACTCCCCCCGCCACCCGTCAAACAACTATGTCAAGGGCACTTTGCGGCAAAATCTTCGGTCATGCTCGGGAGCCCGGTATCACTCTATATGGCTTCTTGACAGGGATGGTGGAGGTGCCAGAACATGGCCGGCTGTGCGCAGGACCACCACCAGTTAAAAAACAAGTGATACTACACTTCGCGGCCAAATCTGGATTACGCGCGGGCACCCCGCGATCACTTTCCACTCTGGTTTTTGACAGGGACTGCTGGGGTGGTGGCACAATGCCTGCTATGTGCAAGCCCAACAGAAATCATCATGGCAACGCGGCCGTGATTAGGCGCAAGTTTTCGACAGGGATGTTGAAGACCGACATGTTTCCCCTATGTGCGTGGGCAAACTTTCACACTCTGCGCGCTCTCCGAACGTGGCACACATGGCGCGGGTGGAACATGCGGCACACTTGGCGCACGTGGAGCACGTGGCGCATGTTGCAACGGGGAGGCGACCCCCGACTTGCCATCGCTTGGACGTCCATTTCCGGCGCATTGTTCGGTGTCGTGCGTGACATCTTTCGCAAGATGATCCGTGATGCTCGTCGATGATCCTCGCCGAGAAAAAATGCACACGTCCGAGTGATGCCAAGACGAGCCCATTCCCCCCCCAACGTTGCCCCTGACGGGTGCGGCAGGTTCGCGTCGTGCTGACCCTGGCGTTGCTTACTGACACCGCGGGGATCGTTGTGGGCCGATTCTGAGTCACAGAGGCGGCGTTCAACCTTACACGCCCGCGCTGTGGTCACCGCCAGTCGTAGAAGAAGAAAAAACGCCATATACATAAACTTTTGGCGATCCGCGCGGATTTCATGGATCCGCGATGGGGGGTCCAGCGCAGATCCAAGAACTCCACGCGAAGCGCCAAAAGTTTATGTTTATAGCGTTTTTTCCCCAAACAGCTTGCTGAACGGGGTGCTGTTGCGATAGAAGCTAACCCCGGCCGAGGGAAAGGGGAGCAGAGACATCCACACAAAAATCTGATGGTCCAGGCCGTTTCGCTTGAGACATCCTCACAACTCTCGTTTCTGAGTTGGCTGGGATTGGCCGTTTCGCATGAGACATCCTCGAAAGGTTGCGCTCCAGGACGCCGCGCGAGAGGTGGTCCAGGCCGTTTCGCTTGAGACATCCTCAAAGCTCTGAGCCCCGAGGTGTCGTGCGAGAGGTGGTCCGGCCCGTTTCGCCTGAGACATCCTCGCAACTCCGGGCTCCGAGATGACGCTTGCAAGGTGGTTCGGCCCGTTTCGCCTGAGACATCCTCGAAACTCTGAGCCCCGAGATGCCGTGCGAGAGGTGGTCCGGCCCGTTTTGCCTGAGACATCCTCGCAACTCTGGGCTCCGAGATGCCGCTTGCGAGGTGGTCCGGCCCGTTTCGCCTGAGACATCCTCGAAACTCTGAGCCCCGAGATGCCGCTTGCGAGGTGGTCCGGCCCGTTTCGCCTGAGACATCCTCGAAACTCTGAGCTCTGAGCTGCCGCGCAGAAGGTGGTTCAGCCCATTCTGCTTGAGACATCCTCGCAACTCTGACCTCGGAGATGCCGCTTGCGAGGTGGTCCGGCCCGTTTCACCTGAGACATCCTTCAAACTCTGAGCCCTGATATGTCGTGCGCGAGGTGGTCCGGCCCGTTTTGCCTGAGACATCCTCGCAACTCTGCGCTCTCTGATGCCGCGCGAGAGGTGGTCCGGGCTGTTTCGCTTGAGACATCCTCGAAACTCTGAGCCCCGAGATGCCGCCCAAGAGGTAGTCAGGCCCGTTTCACTCGAGACATGCTCGCACTTTTGCTTTCCGAGATGCCGCGCGAGAGGTGGTCCAGCCCGTTTCGTCTGAGACGTCCTCACAACTCTGAGCTCTGAGATGCCCTGCGCGAGGTGGTCTGGCCCGTCTCGCCTGAGACATCCTCGCAACTCTGAGCTCTGAGATACCGTGCGCAAGGTGGTCCGGCCCGTTTTGCACAAGAAATCCTCGCAACTTTGAGCTCCCAGATGCCGCGCGCGACGTGGCCCAGCCCGTTTCGCCTGAGACATCCTCGCAACTCTGAGCTCTGAGATGCCTTGCGCGAGGTGGTCCGGCCCGTCTCGCCTGAGACATCCTCGCAACTCTGAGCTCTGAGATACCGTGCGCAAGCTGGTCCGGCCCGTTTCGCACAAGACATTCTCGCAACTTTGAGCTCCCAGATGCCGCGCGCGACGTGGTCCAGCCTGTTTCGCCTGAGACATCCTCGCAACTCTGAGCTCTGAGATGCCCTGCGCGATGTGGTCCGGCCCGTCTCGCCGGAGACATCCTCGCAACTCTGAGCTCTGAGATGCCGTGCGCAAGGTGGTCTGGCCCGTTTCGCTCAAGACATTCTCGCAACTCTGAGCTCCCAGATGCCGCGCAAGAGGTGGTCCAGCCTGGTGGCCCAGAAGACCACATGTTACATGTCCCCCCTGGGACCCTGGGAGCCCCAAGAGGCCCCAGAGAGCTTCCCAGGAGGCTCCCAGGACAGGACGCCCAGGGGAGGCCGCAGGACGCCCAGGACAGGCCCCAGGGGTTCCCAGGAGATTCCCAGGAGGCTCCCGGGAGGCCCCAGGAGGCCCCCTATCAGAACGTGCCAAGTTAATACACATCCGGTGTCGATTTGTTGATTTTCTCTGCTCTTGTGGCCCCCCCGTTTTGGGGGCCCAGACGGCCACATGTTAGATATCCCCCCCTGGGAACCCCAAGAGGCTTCAGGAAGCCCCAGGTGGGGTCCGGGAGGCCACAGGAGGCCCAGGAGGACGCCACAGGACGTCCCCAGAAGGCCCCAGGAGGCCCCAGGAGGCCCCCGCAACTCGGAGCTCTGTGACGCCGCGCTCGAGGTGGTCCGGCCCGTTTCGCCTGAGACTTCCTCGCAGCACGTTTCGCCCGAGACATCGTCGCAACTCTGGGCTCCGAGATGCTGCGCGCGAGGTGGTCCAGCCCGTTACGCTGGAGGCATCCTCGCAACTCTGGGCTCCGAGATGCCGTTCGGGATGAAGAGGAGGTGGAGGAGAAGGAGGAGGAGGAGGAGGAGGAGGAGAAGGAGGAGATAGAAGGGAGAAGGAGGAGGAGGAGGACGAGGAGGATGAGGGAGCAGGCAGGAGGAGGGGGGAGGAGGGAGGAGGAGGAGGAGGAGGAGGAGGAGGAGGAGGAGGAGGAGGAAAAGGAGGAGGAGGAGGAGGAGGGAGAAGGAAGGGAGTTGCAGGAGAGGACCCAGAGGGAAGCGAATGTGACGTGGACTTGTCAGAACGTGCGTAAGAGGTTGTCCACCCCGTTTCGTTTGAGACATCCTTCAAATACTGAGCTCCAAGATGTCGCTCGCGAGGTGGTCCGGCCCGTTTCGCTTGAGCCATCCTCACAATGCGAAGCTCGAAGATGTTAAGCGCGAGATGGTCTGGCCCGTTCTGCCTGAGACGTTTCGTAGCACAGGGGCTCCAATCACAACCTCTCTCATTCCTTATCCCGCCTCCCTCTTCCCGCTTCCCGCCTGGCTCCTCTTCCCTCCTCCCTCCTCCCGCCTCCCGCCTCCCGCTGCTGCGCCTCTGCCTCCGCCTCCCCGTCCCCGCCGTCGTCGTTTCTGCCGCCTCAGCTTCCGTCATGCGCGCCCTGCCTTCCGCCCTCTCATGTGCAAACATCATGTTATCATGTTCTAACATGCCATGCCAGCCCGCACTGGACGGGCACGCAATCGACCTTGGAAACCGCAGTGCGTTTTAAAAACCCTGTTTGGGGATACTGCACTCCGGCTATAATTTCCTTCTTCGAGGTCGACACGACGCGAACCTGCCACAGGTCTGGAGACCTTCCCTGGGACCGGTTCTTCATCCCGCATCGTTTTTCGACGTTCCCGAGGCCCGGCAAGGGCCTCCAGAGGCCGAAAATGACCAAAAACCTTTGTCGTGAGCTTCTCGCGACGTCGGAGGTCTGGAAACCTGCCGCGTCGGGCGGCGACGGACCGGCGGGCCCGGCAGGGGCCTCGGAGAGGAGCGCCCGCCCGCCGGCGGCGCCTGGAAGGCGCCGCCCGCCGGCGGGCGGGGCGCGCAGCTCGGGCCGCGCTGGCCGCGGGGGGCTCTCCGCGGGCACGCCGCGGGGGCTCTCCGCGGGCACGGCGCGCACGAAGGATGAGGGAGAAATGCTCCCCGCCTCCTCGGCCCTCCTCCTCCTCCTCCTTCTCCTCCTCCTCCTTCCTTCTCCTCCTCCTTTCCTCCTCCTCCTCCTCCGCCTCCTCCTCCTCCTAGTCCTCCTCCTCCTCCTCCTCCTCCTCCTCCCTCTCCTCTCCTCTTCTCCCTCCTCCTTCCCTCCTCTCCTCGATTCCAGGTCGGGGGGACGAGGCAAAGACTCGGCCAGGCTGGACCTGGCAAGGGTGAGCTCGGCCCGGGCCGAGCGTCGCCTGGCTGAGGGCTGCCTGGCCGAGCTCTTCCTGGCCGAGATTGGCTGCTACTGGGGGGCGCGGGGGGGCGCGAAGGGTGCGGCGGCCCCCGCCTGAGGGTCGGGCGTTGCTTACAGTAGGGGCCCTTCCACAAGAAACCTTCCACAAGAAACCCAACCCTGAGACCCCTGGACGTCCATTGATTTTTGGTGTGGGAACGTCACGCTTTCCATAGCAAATCGAAACCCTAGAAATCCAGGGCACCCTGGAGGCAAGCAGGGCGTTTCTTGGCATGGGCCTCCACTGCACTGGAGGGGCAACAAACAGGGGGGGGGGATGAGAGGTGCACGTTTCGTGCACCTTCGGAGCCCCAAGGGGGGCCCTTTAGGGCCGTTTCTCCGTAACCGCCGATCCTTTGTATCGCCACCGATTCCCGAAACTCCCAAGAGGGGGAACGAGGGGGGGGCGGGGGACATCGAGCTGCATTCGGCGATGTGCATCGTCGACGGATCGGCGATAGGTGCCCCGTAGCGAATCCGCACGTTCCTGGGCGCCGTGGGCCGGCACCGATCGGCGATGCGCGGGCGAGTGGGGCTCGATGCATCCCCTCCCGAGCCCATCCCCCTCCACCCCCCGGACGGTGCCCCGTGCCCCCGACTGCCCAGTGACGCCCGGGCCGGGCGGTGCGCGCGGCCTGGGCCCAGCTGGCGGCAGGGGCGACCGCTCGCTGGCGGCGCGCACGAGGGGGGGAGCACGCGGTAGCCGAGCCAACTGGCATTATGCAGTCAGTGCTCAACGAGGGCCCCGCTCGGGCCGACGTAGGCTGAGATCGGGCATGCCCCCCTACCGGCGGATTTTGAGCGAAAGTTTCTGAAAAATACTCACAGCATGCCCAAACATATTCAAAAATACACCAGAAATCGTCTCCAGACGATTTTTTGACTACTTTTGAATATCCTACAGGGACAGGCCCGACGTGAAATTAGTTAATTATTATGCAGTCTGTGCTCAACGAGGGCCCAGCGCGGGCAGGCGGAGCCGTCGACCCTTCTTGGGGTCAGACCTCCTTCGTGCTGATCGGCACGCGGGAGGCATGCATCGAAGACGGGCACCCCTGCACTGGCTCGTGAAGTCTCTGCTGTGCACCCTCTCAAGGAGCGGGAGGGGGGGGGGGGCATCGGGGAGCGGAGGGCGGCAATCGGGAAGGCCGTGGGACGTGTCTGGCTCTGGCTGGGCCTCTTGGGGGTCCCCCACGAGGCCACGGCCAAGCGCGGCTCGAGAAGCTGGCCAGCATGGATCTGGGGATCTTTGGGAGAGGGAGAGGGAAGAGGAGGAGGAAGAGGAGGACGAGGAGGGGGAGGCCTTCTAAGGAGGCTGGGGGGCTTCCTGGCGGGGATCGGAGGCTTCCAGAAAGACTGCTTTGGAAAAGCGCGGGGTCCTGTCTTAAGACTCCCGCTCGCCGATTGCAGTCCACGCCGCGGACAGTCCACCCGTTCCCTCTTCCCTCCCCGTCATCCTGCAACAGACGGCACCAGCCTTACTACTACCTGACTGCTACAACCACGACAAGCTACTTATGGATGACAATCGACGACTGATATCGGCACAAGGCAACGTCGTCGGTAGTTGCGGGGGTGATAGCAATGCTAGCGGTGCTGTTGGTATGGCCGCAGTAGGGGTACTGGTAGAGGCGGTTGCACTGATCGTGGCAAGAACGCTCGCCGCCGTGGGCTGTTCTGGGCTGCCACAGGGGGTCCTCACTGACTTCGCGACGGGAAGCCCTTTGCGCGCGCCGCCTCACCACACTGGCCCGTGCACGCTGCCGCGCCCGCCCCGCTGGACCTGAAGGCGACCGCCGCCACCAAGTACCGCGGCCGGCTGGCGGACTGCCTCCCGCAAACAGGGCGCCCCGGGGAGGCGGGGAGGGGGCGAGGGGGAGCCGAGCACATCGCCCTGTCATCGACGATGCACTCCACTCAAGGGGGTCGGGGAGAGGCCCTCGATCCTCGGAAGCTGGACCTTCCCGCGGAGGGTGGGGCGCCCGAGCACCGATGGCCGACCAGCGGGTGATGGCTCCACGCTCCCGAGCCGGGGGCGCGCAAACATGGATTGGGGATCCATGGACTTGGCGCGCGGTCGCCGAATCCACGGATCGGGGGAGGCGCCCTCGCCGGAATGCAGCCGGTGCCGCCTCGTTAGGCGGCGGAAATCCGTGATTTCCCATGGAAGCGGGACCCGTCGCCAATGCACGCCCCCCTTGATCCGTGGTTGCGCTCGCCTGACTGCGCCCCTGGGCCAATCCCCGGATGAGGCCTCCTCCGCCCCTGGTCCTCTCTCTGGCCTCCCTGCTCCCGCCGCCCTCCTCCCCTGCTCCCTCCACATTCCTCCCCTCCCCTGCCCCCCCCCCCACGATCCCCCCCGACGACCCCTCCTCGACGACCCCCCCCTCTCCGATGACCCCCTCGACGACCCCCCTCGACGACCCCCCCCCCTCGACGTCCCCCCTCGACTACCCGCTCTTCCCGTGCCCTCGTCTTCCCTCCACCTCGCGCACGCGGAGGAGGAGGAGGAGGAGGAGGAGGAGGAGGAGGAGGAGGAGGAGGAGGAGGAGGAGGAGTACTACGGTGGCGGAGGGAATCAAGGAGGGCGAAGGCGAGGAGGAAGAGCAGAGGGGGGGAGCACAGCCATCCCGCACAGTGAGGACGCACGAGGAGAATCCAGGGGCCCAGGAAGGCCGTGCCAACACTCTGCGGGCGGGGCGCGGCCAGCGAAAGCGGCCAAGGATGGGCCGACAGGGGAGGATGCAAGGGCAATCTCGGAAAGCCGCGCATCCTTGCTACCAGGGTCGACTGTACGACGTAAGAGGAATATAAAGATGAAGACGAGTGGCCGGCAGGAGGAGCGAGAGAACGAGGAGGAACAGGAGGATCAGAGGGGCTGTGGGGATGAGGGCGGGATGGAGGGACGAGATGGAGGGAAGAGGGAAGAGAAGGAGGAAAAAGGAAGGGAGGGAGAGAGGAGATGAGAAGCCTCCTCTCATTTCCATCCACCGCAACTGCGTCCCTTGATCCGCTGTGTGTACTATGATTTCGCCTCCCCCTTCGCATCTCCGCCCTCCATCCTGGCAAAGTGCACGGCGCTCCCATCACTCATCCAGGGCGGCAATGTTTGCTGTCCCACGGCCTCCACCACCATGGGCGCAACATCGTCACGGAGAGCGGGTCCACCCCGGCCGCCAGGAAGTCCGGCGACCTCAACAAACCTGGGGGGGAAAGCACGATGACTGCATCAGAGCGAGTGCCGTGCGTCGGTGGGCACGTGCCAGGAGTGTCCTCTGGGGTCCTGGGACTCGCGACCTCAATGCCAAGCCGATTCCGACGAAACTGGTGGGCGGGCAAGCGAGTGGGTGAATGAAACCAACAATCATCGACGCAGAGATCCCCGTCATCCGTGCATCTCATCTCCTGACACTGTCCCAGCCTGTGGCGACCGAGCGCTTCCTGGCGGCCCCTCCCCTGAGCCCAAGTGCAACGGTTGCTACATCGGGATGATCTTGCGACCCTGCAAAGCGAGGAGTCGGGGGTGCCCGAACAAGCGTTTCGCTCGAGGCGTCCCTTGATCTGACCGCAAGCGGATAACTGTGAAACCCCTCGGCGGTTCCCTCTTGGGGGGTCTCAAGTGCTACGATTGCTACATCGCGGTGATCATGGGGCTCTGAAAGGAGAGTCGGTGGTGCCCAAACCGGCGTCTCGCCCGAGACCGCTCGAC